ACCACCCTTTTCTTATAAGAGGATGGAAAGGGGAAGTGGATTTCACGGTGGAGAAGTGCATAGGAAGGGGCAATATCTTTATGTGCGTCTCCACCTCCGTCGTATAAGAGTAACGCATCTGCAATTGCGTATGTCTATGGGCAGCTTCGCTTTGCTATTTTGACGGATTCAGGTGGCCGCTTGCTCGTTTGCCACCTTATGTTACAAAAAAAAAATTATTAAATTGTAAAAATAATTTTAAGTCGAATTCGATAGAAAATTACAAGTAAAAAATTACATGCATTTTATAAATTAATAGATTCAGAATAACAAATATATTTCAATTTTTTTTTTTAGTTTTGAGATTGACGGTCAAATACAGATTTAAATGTTTAATAACATTTCTAATGATAACGCTATACTTAAACTTGTTAATGTTCGTAATAAAATTTGGAAGTCAGATTTCTGGAAGCCTAATTTTAGTCCCTTTCCTTTCTCAACCTCACAAGGTAACTGTGGGAATTGAATTTGAAGGTTCAATCACATAAGAAGGGAAACATTATCTTTGTGTCTCTTCCTTCAATTGAGAGTAGGCAACGCATCTGCAAGTGCCCATTATGGCGAATTTATTATTATTTTATTATTTATTGAAAATATTACATAACAAACAAATTAAAAATATGCACAAATATGGCCCCGCAAAAACCATATCATTGGTTTGTCCGCGGGTGCGGTTTTTTGTAGATGCAAATGTATTCATGCAACCATTGTACACAATTTACTGTGTTTTTCAGGTGTTTGACTACCCACCTGAAGGTGTAAGGAAATATATTGTTTCAACAAATATCGCTGAAACATCTGTTACTATTGACGGAATTAGATTTGTCGTGGATTCTGGCAAGGTATAATTTGTACAGATTTAAAAAAAAATATTTAAAAAAAAAGTTTTTATAAGAAAATAATTGTGTACTTTCAGGTCAAAGAAATGAGTTACGATTCGTCAACGAAAATGCAGAGATTAAAAGAGTTTTGGATATCAAAAGCGAGCGCTGATCAGAGAAAAGGCAGAGCTGGTAGAACAGGTGAGATTATGTTCTTCAAAGTTCTTATTTATGAAATTTAATAATCAAATACTTCTGTAATGTTGGGAATATATTAACATGTGAATGAAATCTGATATGCAATTTGCCGAGGTGAATTATAAACAATATGAATACAAGAAACTTTTTATCCAGAAATACTAAACTGTCAGTAGTCGACTTTAAAAAAAAATATTGGTCAGCAAATTACAGGCGAATTACAACGAACTACATCATAGCATAATTTTATATGAGCGTCGCTAGAAAGGTGGAAATTATAAAGGAAATCTTACTTCTTACTATCTAGTTTTAATAATGTTACAACGTTATACGAAAGTTTACATGGATGAATAGGGGGATGTTTTTTAGAGCTTAAATGGCTGAACGGATTTTAATGAAAGTAGACATATATGTAGAGCAGTCTTAAAGAACACAAAAGCTACTTACTTTTTTTTATTCCATGCCGACGGACTCATGGGGGAAAGTTAGTACATAAATATGTTCAAAATAGTTGGGTTCCTTCAATCCTTAGACACTTATGTAGATAATTAAAAATGATTTGTCAGTTTTAATTAAAGAATTTTTTTGTACAATAAAAAGTTTTTACAACTAGCTCCCCCTTTGATAATCAACTCCCCCCCATCACTTCTGGCGACGTCCATCTATACTTCTATACTATTATAATAAAGCGTTAACACACACTTCTTTGTTGCCTAAGATGTCAGCGATTTCAGCATATTTTTGAATAATTCATTATTTAATAAAAAGCCCTACACTTACGTCACGCATTAAGCTATATATTTTCACGCCATTAAACTTAGGGGGAAAATATTTTGGATAAAAATTCTAATGTGGGAAAGAGACCATAAGTTGCTGTCAACATGTCATGTCATTTTGACATTTGCAATTGATAATTTGACGAATGTAAACAGTAAAATGAATTTGTTTTATAATTTTATGGGGATGAAGTCGCATGGAAACAGCTAGTTTAATATATTTAACGGTAACTAGGTCCGGGTGTATGCTATCGTATATACTCGGAGCAACAATATACGGATATGGAGGCGTTCAGTACTCCAGAAGTGAGCCGAGTTCCGCTCGCCTCTCTCTTACTACTGATGAGTTCGTTAGGCGTCAATGATGTTCGTCGTTTCCCCTTTCTGGACACCCCACCTGAAGATGCAATTGAAAACGCATTGTTAGAACTCAAACAACATGTAAGTTATGTGTTTGTGATTAAATGTATTTTTGATTTCACGAAATATTTGTGCATATATGTATATTTGTATCTCTTTAAGCGCGAACTCCTTTGACTAAATTATCGCACAACTGTTTAGTCTTGTTTTGAATTCTATGAGTTTGGAGGTGCACACACTACTCGATTTTTAGTTGTGCAACTAAACAGTTGAATTGCCAAACAATCGACAATCGCACTCCAGTAGTGCGATAGTTTAATCAGTGGTTTGCGCCCGCTCTTATTCTTAGAAATAGAGATAACATGGTTTTTGACTATGGGGTTTATTACGAATATTCGTGACAACGCTTTTATAAAGTCACTAACAAAATTTTAATAGATGTGAGCAACAAAACTCTTGAATGTCATTCAAATATTGGTGATAGACCCTCAGATGGTTTCACGTAACGAAAATGCCGTATTTATTTTTATACCAACCGTTTCATTTTAGTATTTTTCCATGTATTGAAATAACTCGATAACTACTGGGCCGATTTAAAAAATTCTTGCACTATTTAAAAGCTACGTTATCAGTAATATAGGCTTATATTCTTAAATTCTACGCGTACGAAGTCACGGGAAACAGCTATTACATATTTGTAACATATTACCCCTTTTACTTTTCCAGGCAGCATTATCTTCAAATGAGAAGCTAACTTCGCTAGGGAAGGCATTATCTAACTTGCCAGTGGAGGTGTCCCTGGCTAAGGCGCTGGTGGTCGGCAGCGCGACCCTGCCCCCGCACAAGAGGGACTCCGCCCTCGCGCTCTCCGCAGCCTTGGGAATACGGTCAATATTCACTACTAGAGCCCACAGAGACTTCGAATGTGAGGTAGGTAGTACAATTAAATTATAATTAATCTAATTTGAAAAGCATTTTATGTAAAGAAATAGGAATTATAGTGGTCAAATGTTCAATGCAGTCAAAAATTCAGTTTTATAGACGTAGTACGGAACATGTTAATACTTTTATCCAACTGATAGAAATTATGTAACTTCCAGTAACAGGCTACAACCTAAATGACTGAACCGAATTTGACGTGTGAGGTGTCATTTTATTCGTATTCTTCTCTAGATTGTCATAGAGTATTTCAGAACAAAATTGTAGGAACAAAGAACGTGAGAATTAAAATTCTAGAAATTTGGTGAAGAAACGGAATTCGAGTCTCAATCACCATAATTTTTTTTAATCTCTTTTTCGATGTTTTTGAGTATAATATTTGTTAGATTTATTCAATCGGGATTTTTCTTTTGATGTTATTACCGCTAGTTGTCATCTACATTTCTTTGGGATATGTTCAAATGACGTGTGGCGAAGCTAAGTTGAATCGTGTTGACTAGATTATACATGCAACTTAGATTGGTCTCAATATTACACATCTTCTATGTCTCTGCATATGATAAAATTGGAGTGTATGTTAGTAATATCAGAAGACAAACTCCTGATTTCAGGAAGATGATGTATTTGCATTGCTGAAAACTAAAACCGCATTTAAACAATTTTTGCCTGTCTGTCTGTCTGTCCGCAAGCCGCAAAATTTCTGG